AAAGATGTTAGGGGGAAAAAAAGGGGGAGGGGTATTCGTCAACTGAAAAAAGTCCTTCAAAAATTTAATAGGAAAAGAGATAATTTAATAATGGGGAGTCCCCCTCCCCTTAATAACAGGCGCCAAATAAATATTATATCATTACTCGTCTTTTAATCAAAACATTGTATTTTACATATATATTTTCCGTCTTTTCCTCGTCAAATATTAAAAAAAAAAAAAAAAAATAGGAAAATTATTAAAAAAATATAATAGTATCACTATTATTATTATAATAATATGAATAATATTATAATTCGTAAAACAAAACAAAACAATTACCTTCGACGATGGCTAAAACAATTTTTTCGGTCATGTTATAAACATAAATGTTACTTTCGATTCCGAAAAAAATTCTTTTCCAAAATGAATCGTAAGTTAAAACGTAGGAATTATTGGATTCTGGTACATCTTCGGCGTTTATTAATTCTTTTCTTTCCGTGTTAAAAAAATAAATTCCGCTTTCACTGGCTACGGCCAATTCTGCAAACAACAACAAAAACAAAAACATAAACATAAACATTAACAATAAAATTAATATATATAAAAATATTATAAACAATCGTAATAAAAAAAAAAATCACAAAACGTAAACATTCAAACCGGTTTCGGAAGAAAAGTTAAAACAAATAATAATAATAATATTAATAAACTCGTAATAAAATTCAAAATAATAATAATAATAATAATAATAATAATAATAATAATAATAATAGAAAATGTCAAACGCAATAAAAAAAAAAAATTCGATACGAACGTTTTGTATCCGAAATCAAATACAAATTTTTTTATTATTCTAATAAATCATCATCATCATCATCATCATCATCATCATTATTTAAAGTATGTACATACCTACATTAACGAATAATTTAAAAATAAATAAATGACGAAGTTTTAATAAGATGTAAACAAATAAATAAATAAGGGTAACCCATGGGGGTTTTCTTAATTAACCACCGCCGCGTTATAAAATTAACGCCTTAAAATTTTAAAACAAAATGCCGAAATAATAATAATTTATCGATATAAATAAAATAATGAGGAAGGAGGGAGGGGGTTGTTGGGAAATTAATGATATTTATTAATCGTATGTCATTATCCGATCGATTATTATTATTGTTATTAGGTCGATTATTTTTTTTTTTTTTGTTTTTCCAATCATTTTCTTTCTCTCCGTTAATTAATTTTTTGTTTTAAAATAACCCTAAAGACGAAATTTATTGTAAATGTAATTAAAAGATTTTAATGGATCATTAAAAAAAAAAAAATAACTTGGGGGTTAATTTATGTACGTGGCTTATGTATATATATATATATATATATATATATATATATATATATATATAAAATAATTATTTATTATAAACAAGGTTTCAAATTGTTTAAACATTTATAAAAAAATAAAAATTAAACGTAAAAAAAACGTCGATGTGAACTTTTCTCGGTTACGATTAAGGGTTGAAATTGTTGTTTTTGGATAATTAATTAAAAATTTTTATTACAGTAATAATAATAATAATAATAATAATAATAATAATAATAAATGATTGTACAAACGCGCGTTATCATCGTCTCGTTGTTATCATTTTCATTTAAAAAAAAATTTTTTTTTAGCTTTCCATTCCTTTTTTTTTTTTTTTTATTATTACTCACGTAAAAGCGATAGAAATGTATCGAAATTTCATATCGAAGTAACGTTTTTTTTTTTTTTTTTAGGTTCTTAAACGTTTTACAAGTGTTTTTTTTAAACAATATTAACTTAGCACACTGGATGTAAATTAATTAATAATTAGTTAAAGTTACAATTTTGCAAAAAAATATTTAGTTCGACATTTTGTAATAATAATAATAAACAAAGGAAGAATTCTATGACTTATAACGATGAATGCTTTTGACGTTATTCACTTTTCGTTTTTTTTTTTTTTTAAACTTTTTACTTATTAAAAAACTCGATAAAGAATAATTAAAAAGGTGTAATAATTATAATATTAACTCGTTGGAATATGAAAAACCGGGAAAAGCACCAAAAAAAAAACAAAAAACGAATTTTTGGAATCGATAGGAAAACGTGAAAAAAATATCACATTTAAATCCTTCGAGTAGGGAAACGTTTTACATTTATATACGCGGATTTAATTTTGATCTATGAAATCAAGGTAATAAATATATAATAAAAATTCAATTGTCGATTTTTTTTAGTATGATTTACGCTACCGTAAACATGCTGATAAGAATCTATTTTGATTACGTTGATAGCAAAATAATAATAATAATAATAATAATGATAATGATAATAATAATACTAATAATAATAATAATAATAATAATAATAATAATGATAATAAACCTAAAAATTTGTTTATCGTAAAAAAAAAAAGCGAGAAACCAAAACAAAAATTCAATAAAAAAAATTTTAATGAACCGAGAAATAAATCAATAAATAAATTTTTACAAAAATATTTAAATGAAAATAAGTAATTATTTTTAATAATAATAATAATAATAATGATAATAATAATAATAATAATGAATAAAAATAGTAATAATGATAATGATAAAAAAATCTATTAAATAATTTCCTGGGCTATTCAAAGTCAAATTGATTGATTGTGAAATTCTTTTACGAAAATAATTTTTTTTTTTTTTTTCGAAGGTTAATATAAATACGTGTCTTTTTATTTTATAAAAATATTAATAATAATAATAATAATAATAATAATAATATAATAATATAATATAT